TGCATGTTTACAAGACCTTATTCATAAAAAGCATATTATCAAAAGTCAGGCAAAGATACTTACCTGAAAAGATGATCCTTAGTTTAATTAAAAAGACAAAGAAAATAGCTTTTTGTGAAGGCACAATAAGCATTTTAATATAAACTATATGAATACTCAAATCCACACAAATTACAAATAATAAATAAAACTTAAAATTAATAAAAATAATTTTAAATTCATGAAATTTAAAACAGCCAAGATTTGTATCATACTTTTTAAAGATGAATTCAATTTTTGATAAAACAATATTAACAGCATTATAAACCAAACATAAAAAATCATGCAATACATGCAGCTGAATTTACAGAAAAATTTTTTTTGAGAGAGGAGTTCAGAAAGAATATTTAACTGAATAATAATCAGATATAATTATAATCAGAAAAATTAAAAATTAGTATTAACCTGTAATAATATTTCATATTTTGCAGACTAAATATAAAAACTATTCAATTTGAAAAAGTAAAATCATGTTACTACAGACTTCTACAAAGAGCACTACTAAATAACTTTAACACTGCTCTAGCAAAATAATATTACTTGCTATTAAATACCATCTAATAGATTGTATACCTGTTTGCAATGAGTTTGCATTCATTGAGAAACATTTTAATTTCATTTCCAAAAGTTATAATTATCACAGAATTAAATCCCTTGAGAAAGAAGTTGTGCAAATGTTCTGCAGCAATTGCAAGACACAAAAAAATTTCAGCACTGCTCTCCAATCTTCTGAACTTCAGTATAAAGGAGTAATTATCAGTATCATTTAGGATTGGGGGGGGGCTAGACTGTGAGGATTTTAGGCTATAGAACTATTAAAAGAATCTTAAAATTAATTTGCATTTAAGCCTTCTTCAGGTACTTTCACAGAAATCTTTCACATGTGATGTTGTTCTATTATAACAAACAAATATATTAAGATTTTGTTCATGACAGGCATTACTTTAAATCATATAAATAATACAATACCACAGTACCATGTCTAGCACTAAGATAAATAAATTTATCATAAAGAAAATTTACATTCTAATGAAATCAAGAACAAGGAAGGGTGATATGATGTAACAGATAGGCAACTTACAAATCAATAAATACTGGAAGCTGTGGAATGTTCATGTAGTAGCTTAAAGTTAAAAATATGGATTCCACTAAAACTGCATAATTATTCATTCATGACCAAATATTTAATCTTAAACAAAAAAATATAAAGGCCAAAGGTATTTGAAAGTTTTCGAAATATTTCCAAAAAATACTTTTACATAATACAAATAGCTGATTTACTTTTTCAATAAATTTCATTGGAAGCAATAAGATGATATATAATCAGCATAATGATTTAAACAGAAAATAATGTTTTTTCTTCAATTGTACTTTTCCATTCTTTTTTGGACTGTATAGCCAACGTTTAAACATTTTACGATAGAAAAGTTCACCACCAAAGCAAAGGGCAAAAATAGTTCAATTTTACTTTGAAAATAAGAATTCTATTATTTTGATGCAATTAAAATATTGAAAGAAAAAGTATTATTCATTATTTAAAGCAGAACATTAATATTAATTATGCACCACCCTATATTTACAGTTTGAGTACTATGTATGGGATTTTAATGAAAGTTTCTGGTCACCACGAATATCATCTGCGCAAACAGTTCCATTAGTGTGTTTAATCATATTTTGTCAAATGATTTTTGGCATTTGAAAGAAAGAGATCTGCTTTAGAACACTATGATATGAAATTTATAAAAAAAATATCATAATCATTAAGTACAAGGTGTCTGAAATGAAACTATGAAGCTACCAAATTAGAACAATCAATTACTTCCAATTCTGTTGCAAAAAGTCAAATATGGAATGCACTAAATCATGTGTACAGCTATCAGTACTATCTTATATTATATGACACTGTGAAGATTTGGTACCGAAAGTTAAAAAAACAAGGACTATGACATTCATGAAATAGAGCACTCTGACCAGCATACTGACGTTGATGAGGCCTGTCTGTGAGAACTTGTGGAAGAAGATCAGTATGCAACCACTCAAGAGCTTGCTAACGAGTTATACATTAGTGCCATATCCATTAGTCGGGTTATGTATTGAATAAACATAACACTGAAGTCCAGTCGCTGGCTGAAGCAGGTAAGGACAGATGTGTTCAAGCCTAATCTGCTGTTCTAATCTGCTCAAATATCAATTTCACATAAAGACAAAATTCTGGACTGGATTGTCACATGTGATGAAAAGTGGATTTACTTCAACAACACAGGCCAAAAAGGGGGTTGGTCTGCACCCAGTGAGTACATTGGCAGCATCGCAAAATGCAATTTGACTAACAAAAAGATCCTGCTTTGTATCTGGGAGGGGGAGGAGGCTGCTGTGGTATTATCCACAAAAAGTATCTGGAAAAAGGGAAAACCCTCAACAGTACGGTGTATAGCAAGATACTAGTCCATGTTGATGCTGCTATCAAGAAAAAATGTCGAACTGAGTTCCAACCCAAACAGGTAATGTTCCATCCAATCAAGAAAATGCAAGAACACTGTGTCTGCATTCACCGGCTGGGCTTTGTATGAACTCGAATGGGATCTCTTGCCAGACCCACTATATAGCCCTGACATCACTTCTTCAGACTTTTACATTTTTTCACACTTGCAGCTACATCTTCCTCGTGCTATCTTCCATTCTGCACAGGATGTCCGAAATGGGACTGATCTGTTGTTGGACTCATGGCCTGTGAAGTTTCTGAGCCGAAGGCTTTTAAAAACTACTAAAGCATTGGCAGAAATCATAGATTAGGTGGTGATTACTACCTGCACTAAAGGTTCTGCTTTCATGCTTTTGTCTAACTTTATTAAGAATGTTTTTTGGCAGAAAACATTCAATACAAGAAATTTTTAGCTCTCAGCTAGCCCATTGTTGGTTCAAATCACATTTTTCATTTTATTGGTTAACTGCTTTCAAAATCAGATACAAAAAGAAACATATCTAAAACTAGGCAAAAAAAAAAAAGGAATTTTAAATTAGAGTTAATTTTAAATAAAATTTTATGGTTTTGAAAGAATTTTGACATTGGTTCTTCTTTTTCAGGAACTAATGATTTTGCCACTTTGCCTTAAAGAACAAAACAAATTTGAGAACAAAAAATTTCTAGAGGAAGAAGAGGGATCTATGTAAGTTCAAATCAATAAAACCTTATTCAAATTAAAGCCTGAGTAAAAACTTTAAGGCCAGTAAAACTTTTTGAGAAAATGGAAACATTTAAGAATTAAGAATTGAGGAATTAACATGCCATTTGATTGATAATTATTAAGCTTAAATAAAAGTAAAAAAAGTAGAAAAATTAATTTGCAAATATTTTATTATTAGAAAATATTACAGAATACCCAGATGAATATTTGAGCCTGAGTAAAAACTTTAAGGCCAACATAGAAAATAATATATAAGAAAAAAATTAAAAATTCTTAGAAGGTTGTGTAGGAGCCATTTCTTCGAATTACTTCAAATATTCTTGTTTTCATGGATGTGAAACGAGTTTTTGACAAAGGGTGGGTCGGTTTTATACCATTCATCTTCGATAGTAGATTTCAGCTCTGTTGTTGATGTAAAATGTCTCCCATTTGCATAAATTCTTCTTGCTAAGTCACCCCAAAAGTTCTCGATTGGGTTGAGGTCAGGTGATCTAGCTGGCCATTTCACAGTTTCAACATTGTTGACTTGGAACCAATTTTTTGTGCTGTTACTCGAATGGATCGATGCATTGTCTTGCTGATATTTCCAATTTTCTCCAGCAAGACATTCAGCATTTGGCAAAAGATGATTTGTTAGGACATTTTGGTATCCTTGTGAATTCATTCTACCTGAAACGAATGCAATTGTAAGCAAAACAGCCCCAAGTCATGACAGACCCTCCACCTAATTGGCGCTTGGAGAATATTTCTTTTTCATTTCTTATATCATGCCAGTAGAAATTCCAGCCATCTGGTCCATCCAAATTCCATTTTTTTTCGTCAGAAAAAATAATTTCTATCCATTGGTTGTCCCAGGTCATGACTTTCTGGCCAAAGTTCAAACGCTCTATTTTGTGTCTCTGCAGTAACTGAGGCTTAGTCAATTTTGCTGTATAAGTGAACCTTCCAGACCTTCTAATTGTGTTATAAATCGTTTTTTGACAAACTTTTAAACCTGTCGTCGGAATCAGTTTCCTGGTTGAGTACTTTCCAGTAGATACAAGTTGGCAAACTCTTCTTTCATCACGCGAGGACAAAGCTTTAGGTCTTCCCCCAGTATTCTTTTTACCATAATTGTCTTTCAATTTAAAAAAAAAAAAAAAAAAATTGTTGACTACAGTCTTTGATCTTCCTATCTTTATCGCAATAGCACGACTACTCATTCCTGTTGAAGACAAAGCTTCGATCTCTCCTCTTTCACGATCAGTTAACTTCTTACCCTTCGCCATCTTCACAAAGATCACCAATACTTCGAAGAAACGTATGACAAATATGAAAATTGCAGCGTTGTCACAAGCTAGTAGTTGCAATGGTAATTACACGATTATATTATATTTATTTTTAAAAAATGACTGGTGGCCTTAAAGTTTTTACTCAGGCAGAAATACTAACTTTGTAAATAACCACGTTTCTCATAATTATGTATTTACAAATTATGTTTATAGCATTTATTTCTTATCAATGAACTTTAATAATTAATATTATTTGAATCCCTTTTATTTCATTTTACATTTTCTCAAAAATTTTTACTGGCCTTAAAGTTTTTACTCAGGCTGTACATGTCCTGGCCTCTTTAATTACACTTCAATTTAGTTATCTTAGCGCATGAAAGTAGTAAAAGTTTAAAAATATGCTAAAATGAGATAAAATTAATATTTAGTATTTTACCAATAGCATTCATAAACTAATGAATTAAGAATGTAAAAACTTTTTATTTATATTACAACGGATACTTACCAGAATGCTACTAACTAGAGCTACTTCAAATGCTGTTGGCACCACATTAAAAACTAATGCAGATAGGACAAAATTTATTCCCCTGCAACAATAATAATAATAGCTATAAAATTTTAGTAAGAAACAAAAACATAGTTGAGATTAAAAGGACAGATATAACTTCATACATTATGCAGAAAGAGAAAACACAGAGAAATATAAAATATATATATAGATATAATAAAATTTCATATATATTTTCGATTTTGGGGATAAAACATATGATACTTACATATTATCTCATCAACCATGAAACTGTAACTAAGCAGCTCGATTCAGCACCTATTACGGATAGCGTAATATAATAACACACTCACATCATCTGTAATTTCGTTTGATGTAACCTCGATTGATTCTTGATAAGCCATATTTTGTTTTGATGAGCAAGGATATAAATTAACTGTTACTGCTGCATTGATTCCTTGCATTTTGAAAAAAAAAAGGTCTAAAATTTAATATCTGACTTTTACACAACAGCCCAAGCAATGGATTATTTTCAAAGTTATAGGATGCTACCATCACAAAAAGTGTGTGCATATGGATACTATATGATTAGCTGAATATGTCTGACAAAATAGTAATAGACTAAAGCAAGTACTTGCAGGAAGGTTTTATTCATAGCATTCTAAACAGAATTTCTAGTAAAATCAGAAGGCCTAACAAAATAGTAGAAATTGGCTAAAGCATAAAAATGAAGATGCATCAGTTCCTTGAGATCCCCGCAGGAACGACTGGCACAACTTTGACGGGATCACCACAAACGTCCACAGTCAATGGGATAATACATAAGTACCAAAAGTATGCAAAAAATAAGTTTATTATCAATATTTACGTTTTATTAAAAATTTGAAATAAACAAAACAATTTTTGTTTCATGACAGTGTTGTCTAGTCAAATTAAGTAATAAAATTCCAGATTTAAGCTACACATATTCAACAGTAACTGTTTATTTTAATTAATTTTTAAGAGCTTATCTGCTGAGTTACTTATTTATTATAAATCCTACTTCTGTTAAACAGTATCTTTAATATTAGTTTCCTTTAGTTTACAAAAATAAAAGTCAGATATTCAGCTTTTAGTTTTAGCTTTGAAGGTTTTGCCCTTTGAAAGAAACATGCTTCTTAGGTAACTTTTCAATATTCCTTGAATTTAAAAATACAAATTATTGATTTATCAGTTTGAATTATATACTGGACATAGAAAAATTTTCCTAAACTTATATTTGTTAATGTATGACAATTAGTTCAAAAATTATTTCCAAATAAGTTTATATTTTCATTAGAAATGGCAATCATTTTTTCATGCTTCTGAAATCAAACATTGATGCTCCTTTCAAGTTACACGGAGAGTTACTTAGCAGGTGTTATATGGGATTTTACGCCTCTCTTCTGGTCTATCTTGAAAAGAGATTTCAGGGCAAAAATAGTAAGAATTTTTTTTTTTTTTTTTTTTAATGGTTGTTGTTAAAAATGAAAAAGGTTGAAATGAAGGACGGGAAAAATACAAATTTTCGTATTTTTGGTTCTTTATATGAGTGCTGAAATTTCTCACCTCTTTCAGGAGTTATCTGGAATGTAGCAGCTTCCACCTTTTAAAAGCATTGCACATGTTCAAGAGAGAAAATTTTCAACTAATTTGTGAAGCTAATCTTTGCTTCTCTGAAGCGTACTTATTGTATTAGGTGCAGCTAGGGGTGTACTTAACCCTATTACATTATGATGGTGGCACTGACCAACTATCAAATGAGTTTATCCTGTTAATAATACCGATCTCTCACAGTCGATCATGGCTTCAAGGGATGTCTTCTAAAAGATCAGATTCCCAAGATGGCATTTTTTTCCTCCTGCTTCATCGTCCATCATTTCGGTTTTATGTCTGAGCTTCAGCAATGTCCCACCTATGATTTGTCATTGGCCCATGAACTGTGAGCCCATTGCAGCTGCCTTCTAAAAACATACCAGATGAGTAGAGGTCCTCTTCAGCAGAAGAATTTCCAGTCCATCAGGTGCATGCCCATCTGAAGCTATGGATGGCTTTTTACCTGGATAAGATTGCTTAAATACCTCATCAACATAGCTTGCAGAAGAGTACGTTCTACAATTTTTCATGAACTTCCTGTCAATTATTTAAAAACACTAAATTTCTCATCATGTATCAGATCAGGTTTCCTTAAATCCTTAAATTGATGTTCAATATGCTCTATCATTGTAAATAGCTTGCAAAAAGTTGTACGAAGTTCAGAAAATTAAAGTATGTCATTGTTGAAAAATACAGTTTTTTGTGTGTTAGTTAAGTGATAGTTTTCATGCCAGGAGGTTTTCTTTTAGTAATGTGTTTCAAATTATGCAATTAGACAATAATTTAGTTTGATTAAATGAAATGAGTTGTTTTTATTTGTTTCCAGCTACCAAACACTCTTACTAACCAGGAATATTGCTAAATGTCATTACCAGTTTTTTTCTTTTTCTTTTTTTTTAGTTATTGTTATTACACAATGCAATGTCCATTGGTTTATTTGAATACTGAATTTTTACATATTTTAAGGGTTTACAAGAACCACTATACAACAACCGCTTAAAAATGCCATAGCGAAAAATATAATAGAGAATTATAAAATTTTGTACATCTATAGAATTTTTTTTTTGAAAACAATGAAATAACAATTATATTGGCAAAGCAAATAAAAAAAATTAAAACTAAACTGACAATTTTATAACACATACTGCTGCATTTTTTAAATTCTTCATTATTTATTAATGAAAAGTTGGCATACATAAAATGGTTTTGAATAATTTTTAATGGTAAAATTTTACAATGGAATTGTTCAATATTTGAACAAAGTTTAAATTTTAATATGAGAAGAAAAAAATTTGAAAAATCTAGTAAAGAATATCAAACAGATTCCCAAATCTACGTTTTTCACTGAGTTATGCTTACACTTCAAAGAATTAAATGCTAAATTGCAGGATATTATTTGCTATATTTATTCAAAGCATTTAAATTTAACATTAAAATTTGGAAATGGAGGAAGATAGTTTTGTGGAAAGACTCATCTTTTGCAATGAAGCCACCTTCTATGTAACTGGCAGGATGAACAAACACAATATCCGTGTACCTAAGGAAGCAAGAAACCACATACACAGATACAGCATCAATGTAACTCTGCAAACATGAATATTTTACATGTGGTGACTTGCAAGAAAGTGCACAGTCAATTTTTCTTCGAACAAAAAATTTTGACCAATGACTAATTTTAAGACATGTTTAGAAAAGCAGTGGTTAACCAAGCTGAACACCAGTTCTGATGACTACATTTTGCAGCTAGATGATGATTCGCCCCATTTTCACAGGAATGTGCAAAATCTCTTAACCACATTCTTCATCAATGCTGGATTGGACGTGCTGCAACAGCAGCAACCTTCTGCCTTGGCCACTCATTTGCCAGATTTAAAACCATGTGATTTTCTTTTGGGGTTTGCTAGATCCAGTTTATGTACTGCCAATGTCGGTGTCCCTTAAGGAAGTTTGCGATCATTGCAAACCATCATGGCGGACATGCTACATTGAGTATGGGAAAAATGTGATTACCATGTAGATGTGTGTCGTGTGACCAAGGGCTCACATATTAAGAATTGTGATTAATGCATCAAAATCCACCACAGTTGCCACTGCTTATGCCATAAGGTTTGGCCATATAAAATAATACATTGATTTATTATTAACTTTTAAAACCCAACCACTCATTTATAAACACCCTAAATATAATTTATACTAAAGAAATGTAATTCTGCAATATTAATATGTCCATTCTTTTTTAAGTACAGAAGCAAATGAGCTTAATGAATTTAAATTTCAAAATCAGCTCCTAGAATACTTTGAAGTGGCAAAATTTTTATGCACTATGATGTTAACCATTTTTGGACTTAGAGATTTTTTAGAAAATCTGTATCCTGACATTTTAAAATCGTCTTTATAATTTCCTCTATGACCACACATAATACTTTTAAGGCATGATGAAAACTGAGATAAAATCAAGATTACATTAAACATTCAGACATTCAATCTACTAAAACAATGCTTTGGTTCACTAACAGATCATCTCCCGACCAATGACGACATTCCCCTAACTTGCTAATGCCATCTAGATCAGCGGTCACTAACCGGTGGTCCATGATAACTTTTTGCTGGTCCACAGAAAAATTGGAACATTATTTATATTTTTACAAAGATTCAGGTTAAAAAATGATGAATAAGAAAACCTATTATGGAATATGGATTATACTTTTTTTTTTTTTTTTTTAAATTTTAGCTACTACTTTTAGCAAAATTCCTTCTGAATTTAGCAACTTTTTACCTACTTTTGCAGGTGTATCTAGGAACATTTGAAAGTGAGAGTTGGCATCTATGGATATGCTTCTGTTATCTATATTAATGGGAAATGGAATTCTCTTTCCTTTTGAATTATAAACATATGCTATTATAGTCATTATTAACAGAGTTTTTGTCCATGTCAATAGGCAACTTCATGGATTTTTATGAGAATCATTTGCATTCTTGTTTATAAATGCATCACTGGAAGTTCCTGTTTTTGTTTTGTGACTGTTGATCGATGGCGCCATTGCTGAGTAAGCAGTAATTATTAAGTTTACAATAATTATAAATTGGCGGCATAACTCTATCAATTTATTGATACTGCTTTGCTTTTGCAGATTTGTTCTTGCTTTTTATGAAATTCCTTTTCAGTGATATGGAAATTTCTGTACAAGAAGGTAAGATAGTTTGCACTTTTCACGTAATTTTTCAATGTGGATGAAATATGTGTAGTTTGCTGATTATTACTGTATAAATGTACTTACCTTTTTTTAAATTCATATTTGTGATCCGCCAAATATAAAATTATATATGTAGTGGTCCATGAAGTTCTAAGGGTTAACAACTGCTGATCTAGATGACCTCATCAACATGGCCGTAGTTTGACAGAAAGAGATATCTTTTATACTCCATCTAGATAGCCAACAGTTTGTGATATCACTAAACTTCCAGCCTTTAGTAGGAAGGCTTCTGTTTAAAGAGGTATTGCATTTACAAAGCCATCTGTTTATGCTTTAAAAAAATCAGAGAATTGCAATGGTACACAAATTTTGATTTATAAAAGTCAATTGTTTATGAAGTATAACTTTATAGAATGTGAATTTTTGTATTATATAATGATAGGCAAAATGCTATTATTTCCAAAGAAATGCAATTCTTTCTTTTTCATTAGCTGACAAACTCCCCAGTCCTATTATGATTCTTTGAGAGAAAAAAAATATAATCATTACACAAACACAAACACTTATGACTATCAAATTTGAAGGGGAAATCAGTGCTCATCTGCTGCACACATGCACATACCTAGGAAGCCATATAAATATTTTTCCAATATCATGGGCTGCCTATTTTAGTGAAATACTGAGGGGATACTGACGGGGGTACATATAAAATGAAAGTACCCCAAAAAACTTTGCAATTCTTGTATAAGATAATATTTTGCAACCAGAATGCACTGGAATCCAGTTTACTGCAAATATCACTAGAGATTAATCTAGTAAATGTATTTTCGAGTTTTATTTCTCAACCACAATTTTCCTAATTTACCCTTATTTATTAAATCTTAATAATTACCATGATTTACTAAATACTATAACTTTATCAAATTCTCTAAATTGAACTGTTTTTGTGTTATGTTTTACTAACTTTGTCAGTTATTATCTGTTTCTGTTCCATTTGTAGCTCCACCAGTGGTCAAATATTTTAAAATAGCTGATTACTAGTAATTACACCTGGTTTTTTCTTGGATCATAAATTTAAACTGATTGTTATTAAATATCATTTTTAACTAAAATTATTTGGATTTATTTGCATTGCTATTTCTCACAACTACAATTTCTGACTGAGGCCAACATGGTGCAGGCTGAGTTATTGTTGTTATTATTATTATTATTATTATTATTATTATTATTATTATTATTATTATTATTATTTTCTGAACATGTGAATGGAAGCTGGGGTTAAATTATTGGATCATGGTTCCATAAACTGATTTTCTGCACAGGCTGTGAATAGGAGTTACAATGAGAAAAGAGCAGTTCAAATTACAATGAAAAAAGAGCAATTCAACTCCTCACTTGGCTTTAGTTTAACCAGACAAGAGAAAGAGCTACAGGGTGTTAAAGGAGTGGGAAGAAAAATTACTGACATCTTTGCTTTACTTTCGCTTTTGTGAAAGATACAATGGATAGATAAATTAACATTTAGAATAACAGGGCATCAAGAGAGTTCCTTTCATGCTGCAATTAAAATAGAAGGATTGAATTTTCCTTCCTGTGTTACGACCTCCTTGTTTTCAGAAGATAAGAAGAGCTGAATTTTTGTTCATATGGGTGTTTGGTGACTCATGGCTGCAGGGGGCAGGGGTGGTCTAGAGAGCCGTTTGACAGCAGTTTGCTTGGATTGGTTTTGTAAGAACTAAAAATTGTTAAAAAAAAAAAAAAAAAAAAAAAAGAGAGAGAGAGAGAGAGAGAGAAAATGGAAAAAGGAAAGAGACTTCATCTGGTTAGTGAAGCATAATTATTTTAATTTTTCATTCAGTCTGTAGAATTTGGACAGATGTGGGAATCCAGATTTCTTCAAGGCGTGTATGAAATTAGAATTCAGATTTGGCTAAAACTTCAAAGAGTAAAAATAAAATAGTAAGGAACTGGAGTCAACCTGTGCAAGCAGGCTGGAGCCTGCATTTTCCCCTGCAGAATTAGCTGAAATTTCTTTGCAGCTGTTCTTCAGAAAAATTAGTGTTTATGCTTCATCTCCCATTGTCTGATAAATTTTAAGGGGTTATCTGCAGGTATCCAGCTTCTTATTCATGATGATAATCTGAGAATAATTAATTACGCTGATGGAACCCTTGGATCTTGCCATCTGTGCAGTCCTGAACTCAACTCCCATCGGGTTCTGCAGTGCGGCTCAGCACTTTTCCTTGGGGAAGATATTGGCTAAGAAACCAGGCTGAGAAAAATTAATTACTTAAGAACAGCATATTAGCAAGACTTACTGATAGTAACTGAATGATATGTGATGAAGAAGGCTGACTGCAAATAGACTTGAATTGTCTCTTTTTTTTTTTTTTTTTTTTTCCACTTTCTTTTTTTCTCTCTCTTTATTTTATTTATTTATTACTTTTTTTTACAAAACCAATTCAAGCAAACTGCTGTCAAACAGCTCATCCAAACAACCCTACCCCCATAAGTCACCAAACATCCATATGGATGAAAATTCAGCTCCTCTTATCTTCTGAAAACAAGGAGGTCATAACACAGGGAAGTCAATCCTGCCGTTTTAATCGCAGCCTGGAAGGAACTCTCTCGATGCCCTTTTATTCTAAATATTCATTTATCTATCCATTGTGTCTTTCACAAAAGCGAAAGTAAAGCAAAGATGCCAGTTATTTTTTCTTCCCACCCCCTTAATGAAACATCCTGTAGCTCCTTCTCATGTCTGGTTAAACTAAAGCCAAGTGACAAGGTAAATTTTCTATGAATCTGTGAATCAAAAATTTTCTTGCTTTTTTTTCTTCTTTTGAAGTTTCAGAATTAAGGAAGTTGTTTGAATTCTTCTGTTTCAATGAAAAAACTTGCAGATTCTCTGTTACAGGGAAAACTTAATGGAATGCTACATTAATATCACTGATAATAATTTTAATTAGTTATTTATACATGGCTGTAATTGGAATTGGATGTTTAAGAGTAAATTAAATTAATAATAGTAGGGTAAAAATATCAGTGTCCCTTATGAATGCCTGCTTAAAGATTATAGAAATGTATTTACTAAGGAATTAAGACAATTGTTCAAATTTCAACACACTGAATATGCTTATATAATGTGTGTTATTATCCTTTAAGGAAATTTATAGGAGTAGACTGGCCAGCTTTCTTAAATTATGATAAACTAGAAATAATACATGTTTTTACAGTTTTTAATCTTGTATGTATTATTATTTATTTGTCAACCTTATCACTCCAAATGTTTGAAGAAAACTTGGAAATGATTATCAGAGTTTATTTATAACAACATAATGCAAGCAATTACTACATACAAAGCACTTATTACTTAGATGATTTATTGAGACACTTGGTTATTCGAGGGTGCTGAGAATTTAATTAATTGATTTTTTTTTATTATGTGAATTGGTTACTGAATTATTTTACGCGTGGGGTTTCCTTCCTTGGTATCTTGAGAAGTTTAGTATTTGCATTTCAATGAAATAAGTTTGTAGTTTTCTTTACAGTTTAGGAATTATTGTGTATTGGCCTTCGTATGAGACTCGCATGTTTTCAAGAAAATTGGAAGGTTGTACCATTTTTAAGGACAGAAAGCACTTTTTAAAAATTTTATTGAAAAACACATGTTATTATTTGAACAATTAACTTATTATTAAGAATATTTCTATAATCCTTAAGCAGGGATTCATAAGACATGGCAATACTTTTCCTATTAATATTAATTCAATTTAGTCTTAATTATCCAATTCCAATTATAGATATGTATAAATGACTAATTTGAATTATTATCAATATTAATTTAGCATTACCATTAAGTTTTCCTATAACAGAGAATCTATGTTAGAGTTCTTAACATTACATATTTTCATTTAAAAAGAACAACTAAAACTACTTCCCTGAAACTTCAAAAATGGAAAATAAAGGAACAAATATTTTAACTCAGAGAATGACAGTCCACATATCTGGCAGCCTTCTTCACAGCACACATCCTTCAAATACCATCAATGAGCTTTGCTAATATGCCATTCCTTCTCATGCAATTAATTTTCCCCAGCCTGGATTTTCAGTTATATATCTTCCCCAAGGAAAGTGATGAGCTGCATAAGAGAAACTGATGGAAGTTGAGTTCATAGCCACACAGGTGATAAGATCCCGCATCCATGTTAATTATTCTTAGGTTATTGTCACCAATAAAAAGCTGGGATGACTGCAGATAACTTCTTAAAACTTATCAGAAAATGCAAACTGAAGCAAAGAAATATACTAAAAATATGAAGAATGACAAATAAAAGTTTTCATATATGAATTACTCAAAATATATAAATCTAATTTTAAAAAATTTCGCAATGATAAAAAGATTCAAAATTATTAGTATAAAAATAATAATTTACTATTTTATAAAAAAATTACCTTGTCCCTCTGTCAATAGCCTTTGATAATGCTCCAGTTTGCCGAGATAAATGAAAACTGAGATCTAAATTATGAAGATGCAAAAACACACTTCTTGCAACTCGTCGAATTGAGTTATTTGCTACTTTGGCAAACACAGCATTTCTCAACTCATTAAACAGAGCAGCTCCAGTTCTAGTAGCTCCATCTGAAATGCAATACAAATTAATATAATTTTATGAGTCTCATAGAATAATTTAAGTTTTATGAATGTATTTTAAATATCTAAACTTCTTGTTAAGACATCATGTAGATGTAAGAATACTAGTAAATGATACACTAAGGCCCTAGAATGCTGATACTGAGATCCAAATCAAGGCATTTAAAGTGAATTATGGCACATTAAATGGAAAAAGACAGGGATGAAATGTAAAATGCATCTTAGAGGTACACATTTTTGTTTTAGACATAGTTTTTACAGTAGTTTTCATTTTCCATCTTTCAAGGACTATACACTTTCCTAAAACTTCTGAACTAATGAAATATGAAGGCTATAAAAATAAAATGGATAGAAATGATATTAAGCATGAAATTCGTATTCATGTCCAAAAAATTTAATAATTACAATAAATACACTATAAACTAGAAAAATTCCATATTGTCCTACAAATTTGCGCAACTAAAATGCTTAACAAAATGTATTGTAAACTTTCCAGTAATAATGGGATACATTATACATCTGTTCTGTGAATTACAATATATATTATCCAAATACTTAATTGGAAATCTATGATTTTTCAGTAGAAGAAAAAAATTTCAAATAAGCAAGATCACTAAATTTTTATCCTGGATTCCTTTAAAAATCCTTGCTTTGATCTACATTCAAATCTCAATTAAGTAATGTTCTATAAATTATTGCTTAATTTCATTTGTGAAACAATTGCTTAGAAGCTTTAACCAAATCCTCACCACCGCAACAATCCATTGCTTCACAATACCCTTTTCAAATATCTTTCTGATTTCAGCTTTTTGCTCAACTACTGAAAATGGTTTTAGTACACTGCAAAGTCTTTAATCCAGATGTCCATAATCCAGAATGATCTATAATCCAAACCTCAAAGCTACAAACTTTCTGTGCATACGTTTACGTATGCGCGTTTAATATATAACGGACAATATAAGCTAAGCTAAAATTATCTAATTATCTATTTCAGTTAATGTTGCAGATTGCGTTGTTCCTTAATCTTTTAATTGGATCCGGCTTATTATTTTTTGCAGACTGTTAGAGCAATTTTATAAAAGTAAGCTTGAACTTTCGATTATGTCAAAAAGAATTTCCGATTCTGGAGCTGGCAAAGGATCTACAAAGTGAAAGCGTGTTTCAATGTACCGCTTCCGATAGTGAAGAAAGTGACAGAGAGGTTATTGAAAACCAAAAAATTTCGATTCACAAGTTAGTCGGTATTCTCGACACAGCAATTACATAACTTCAACAGTGGAACTGAACAAGAAATTATGTCTGTTTATAGAATTCAAGAGAAAGTATTAGCACATAAAACGAAGCAACTTAAACAACTTACGTTGAAAGAAATGTTTAATAAAGTAAACAAATAAATATTAAGCTTTTTTTTTTTTTTTTTTTTTTTTTTGTAAATTTTGATACCCTTTAGATCATAATTGCTCTTTATTTCATAAATTGTGGTTTCACATTTTTAATTTTATAATTTCTGCATGCCATCTTACCAGATTTAAATTGATTATCTATAATACAAAAAAACCAATAATCGGGAATCGCCGAAGTCCCGACGAGTCTGGATTAAAGACTTTTGAACTTTTGACTGTATAGACACACTACTACAAATTAGAGAAAGTAAGAAAAACTTTTCTTTGGCAGATAACAAGTAATTTTTTTAAAATATGTAATTTAAATTAACATAACAAAAATTTAAAATTGTTTAAAATTGCATAGATAACAACAAAACAACAACAAAAAAAAAAAAAAAAAATACTGCACTGGTTATCATAAATTAAGGAAAAATCACAATTACTGAAAAAGTTACATGTAGAATTTTATGAAACTTACCCACAATATACAACACATAATAAGGTATCAAGTAACATAAAAAGAAATTACCAGACAATTATGGTAGTATAGAAATTAGCACATGTATAAAATGAACAAATCGAAGAAGTCAGTTTGCTATAGTAAAAGTACCTTCAATATGGAATATAATCACATCTAGAAGCAATACAGCACATTCTGAGATGTGTGATGCTTTCAATTATGCAGTTTATCAGTTCCATAGGAAGCGAGAGCCATTGCTCTTGCAAAGCAGTTGCAAGCGCAGCAAGGCTCTAAGGGGATAGATTGAGAGCAGCTAGACGTCTCCCTAAAGCATCCCAAACGTGCTCGATAGGATTCAAGTCCAGGGATCAAGCTGGCCACTCCATGCGCATTATTGTTTCCTGTTGAAGATAATCATATATGATGTGAGCCCTGTGTGGTCTTGCATTGTCGTTCTGTAACAGGAAAGCATTACCTATTGCCCCTTCATATGGGCGCACATAAGCATCAAGGATGTCATCTCTATAAACATGAGCATTCACGGTTACCCTTGGAAAAACATGGAGGTCTGTGCATCCACCCAAAGAGATGCCCCCTCCCAAACACAGACACTGCCTCTTCCGTATGCATCTCTTTCCCGGATGTTTGACGGATGATAACGGGTTCCAGGTTCTCTCCATATCAAATAACGCCTACTATCAAGTTCTAGACTAAACCTGGACTCATCCATAAAGAGAATAGCCCTCCATTGCTCAGGCATCCAGTGGACATGTTGTCGTGCCCACTGCAAACGGTCCCTGCTATGGCGTGAGTCGAGCGGCACGCAAATGGTTGTTCGTCTCGCATACAGACCACCTTCATGAAGCCTTCTATGCACAGTTGACGTTGACACTAACCTTCTGGTGGCTGCAGCAAGGGAGGATCTAAGAAGAGTCGGAGTAGTGGTTCTATTCCTGAGTGCACATAATGTCAAATATCAGTCATCGGCGCACATCGTAGCAGTTGGCCGTCCTTGGCTGAACCTTCTAGGTGCCGAATCTGTGATTTGAAATTGCCTCCAAAGCCTATGAACCACAGAAGGACTCCCATTTAGCCACCTGACCACTTCTGTTTGACTTGGTCCTGCCTCTAGTCTCCCAATGGCTTTCTATCGTAGTTCTGCAGGCAAATGATGCCTGGAGATCATTGTTAAGAATCGGCTATCTCAGATTTCTGATGTCACTATCACAGTGAAATATGTGGGCTTGCTCTCAAACATGGACTTTTATGCTCCTCGCAGATGACGGATTCCGAGTGCAGCGCCACTAATTTGCATATTGGAGTTTTACTCATCCACTCTTACTTGGCAACATATTCAAATTTCACACGGTTTGGTTTTTTTGAGGGAGTTATCGCTATTTTTGTGATTTTTCCTTAATTTATGATAACCAGTGTATAAGAAAATATTGCTTTCAGTTTTATAGTAAATTAGATAGTTCTTTCAAACCAATAAACATTTCTTAGCATGCACTCATACTATGGTCTAATTGTTTTAAGTGGCACAATTTTATTACCAGGCAATTGCACAGCATTAAACCACAATTTGAGAAACAATGTCCATGAGAACAAGAATTCAATTTATTCAGTTTTCATGCCCCCTTTACCAGTCATCAACATAATTTAAAATGAACCAAATATCAGTGAACTAAATGATATCATACAACACAATTAAAAAGGTTTTCATATTGGTCAATTTTTTTTTTTTTTTTTTTCAGAAACTTCAAAAGGTATGGCATTTTGTTTCTCATTTATGATATAAACATGGAATAATAAAATAATAAAATTTTTTGCAGTAAAAACATATCTTATTGATTGTAAATAATGGTAAAAAATACACATAGCACAGTGGTAGAATTCCTGTTTGAAGCATACATTCATTTTGAGCACAAATCAAATAAGCACAGAGTTATTTTTCCCTAAAAGTATGAGCAAGATTATTCTTATATCATTTAAATAGATAAGAACATGAAACATTTTATTTCACCAATTTAAATGATGCATTTCCATTTTATAGAACTTAACATTTCTGTTCCTTAATTCCCTCAGCGTTATGGACATAAAATTCCATATAGAATGCTGGCTTTCTTATTCATGCGACATGAAAATTTCTGCCAGCATTTAATGTATCCGACTTCATTTTGAATGGTCATTAGAAGAAAAGGAATCTAGGTACACAGTGAGAGAGTCATTTAATTATAATCATGAAAATACCATTTATTCATGACATTTTGATGAATTTTGAAATTTCAGGGCTAAATCCGTAACATTCGGAGGTTTAAAGAGGAGGGATACCATGCCCATCTCCTTTCAAATGCAATTTTCCTGTAAACCATCATTAATAAAATGCAGTTTTTTTGTTTCAATTTAGAAACAGCATTTGATTTTCACTTAATACTTCACTTTCACTTAATTCGATTTTTGCTTAACTTCATTTTCATTGAAATTCTAATTCTACATTAATAAGTTTTACATCTAATAAACCAAGTAACCAAACTATACTTACAACCAATGATAATGGCCATAGCCATAGTCATTATAGTGGAAGGAGCTGTTTCTAAATTCAAATTTGCACCAGTATGTAAATTAAGATAATCAACTGCATACTTGAACAGAAATGGTACTTCTATATTCAAAAGCTAAAGACATATAAAAAGAATATATTTATAGCAAATTTAATTTTATACATTTATTCAAATTTAATAAAATATTTTTTTACTGGAATAACACACAAATACCAGTACAGCAATTAGAAGCTTCTGCTTTAATTTAAAATAAAATTAATAAACATGCAGCAGACTTCTGAAATATGTGCATCTGTGCAAATCCACTTACACACATAATTTTTTTCAATAGTACAGGTTAAATGTCACATCAATTTGAAAAAACAGGCAGAAAACAATGCAACCTTTAAATGTCAGAAAACTTAGAAAAGGAAAGTTTTCCATCCAATAATAAATGGAAATCCATCTGTTTATCATTTACGGAACTTGTGAATAATCCCATTGCCCATAAAAGTTGTTCCCGCCAAATGCCCTAGTGAAATTCTAAAGAAACTGATACTTTTTTTATTTAATAAACAACCAGTATTCCACCTGCTTCCTAAAAAGATTTCAATGATTTCTATTATTTTGTTAACCTTCCTCAATTTTACCAGATGCTCTATTTTATATGCAATAAGTACAAACTTCCCACAGGTTGTTACTCCCATCTATTAGTGTTTTATTAGCTATATTCAGTTAACTATATCCCTTAAGATACACTTTTCTTGATGGTAGAATACCATTACTTTTAAAATAATTCACTGCTTGCTGTTAGGAAGAAGGCAAATCCCAAATTTTAATACCTTCCCCCCCAAAAAAAAATTTCAAGGAAAAATACAGCAATAACAGTTAGTCCTTGTTCAAAAAACAGCATGGCTTATTGAGAATCAATCGAGGTTGCAACAAATGAAAGTGCAGATGCTAAAAGTATGTTGCCAAATCATGCTTGTACATAACTGGTGCTAAATTATACTGCTTTTAGACTCTTTCCTGGCCAACAATATAATACATTTATTGTAAAAATAAAATTCATTTATGAACTGTTTATACTGTTTTTGGAAATTACTTGGCCAATGCTGTACCCTTAATTTTAATACTAGGTGGGGTTTCTCCATTGTAAAGACCATATCAGCATAAAACTTTAAATTAGGTAAAAAAAGTAACTTTAATTTGGCATAGGTAATTTCAAGAATCCCCCCCTTGCTTAGAAGGAAAACAAGAAATTTTGCACACAATTTTTTTTTTTTTTTTTTGTTTTTTTGTTTTGTTTTTGTTTCTGAAGAATGACTTGTGCCTGATCACCTTTAACACTGATTATTCAAAATCGGTGCAAAACTATGTTTGCTTTCTTACTTAGTTATAAATTGACTAAGATTGAAACCAAGATGTATGGTGACTAATTCCTTACTTGGCAAGATTTCTCTGTCATTTAACAGTTTTTATAATTTGACCTTATTTCACAATTTATTAAAAGCTTTTATTTGATAATTTTATTTCAATTCAAAGAAACTTTATATTATAATATTTTGATTATGTCAACTGAATTTTTTATCAGAATAAGCGATGTATTTTCCATGTTTTTGGTATAAAAATGTGCAAAATTTTGGCAATTCGATAATATTTGAATGATAACATTAACCAGCATCTACTGTAAATCTGATATAAAAAGTTGAAATGTGCACAATGCCAGCTAATTTGCAAAAGTACAAATGACAATGAGAGAAATGTAAACAAGAATCAAAATGAATCAATCATACTTGCTTGAAATTAATTGTAGCATATATGCCCCTAGTGAAATAAATTTCATGGCTGCTTCTGTTGCTGATTTTTCAACGAGTTTGGGTTCTGTTGCCGATTTTGCAGCGAGTTCAACTTTGCTCTAAGATCACTTCAACTAAACAACTTTTCAGTGTAACATACTGAGCTCTGTAGTGAAACTTTACCTCTTGTTGTTGTTGTTATTGGTTACTTTTCATTATGTTTAGTATGATGCTGGAAAACTTATGACATAATTATCATCATATTAAGTGATTCTGATTATTCTAGAATTGATCCTAAGAAACACAGAAGTCAGGACATGTCAGAAAATATATATATTCTGTAGATTTTTTTTTTTTTTTTTTTTTTTTTACGGTAGTAAGGTTTCCAGTATTTTACCATGAATATCAATATAATACTATATTTTGTAAAGGTTTTATGATGAATAGATTGATCTATTGATGTATAAACTAAATTATAGCAAAACAATCACATCGACCACATTTATTTTCAACTAATATCCTTGCACACAAGATCCGATCCACTAATTAGAATGCAAAGCTAGTCCCAGAACATAACAAATGTAACCTGCTTACAGTTGTAATGTAATATAGAGAGTTATGTCATCTTGTAAACTATGACAGAAATTATACTAATAAACATAATGGTCACTAAAGATGTTTTTTTTCTGTCTTAAAATAATTGTCCTTCCTTAAGTTTATTTTATTGCAAGAATACAAAAAATGCTAGACATATTCATGTTAATTCAAGTATTTATTTAGATGGTAAGACTTCTGATGAACTATAAATTTTTAAATTTTGAGGAAGTTAAAAGCTAAATGTGAATCTACAACTGCACAGGACATTTTCAATCATCAAGTAATTCAAAGGTAAATTTATATATAAAAGTTCCTGCTTAAGTTTCCTTCTGTCAACATAACAAATATAAATATGATTAACTTTATAAAAGTTTTAAAATGGATAAATTTTTTGTCCTGTAATATAAAAACATCATTTGAAGATAAAATATCATAGAAATGTATCTAAATTCATTATTTTATTGCCAAGATTTTTAGTAATCAATAAAAGATGCTGGAAAATATTTCATTTCATGAAATGTATACATATAAAATTGTATAAGGTAATGGGAGATGTGGGAAAGAAAGAAAACTTATTATGCAAAAAGAGGACAGAATGGCTGCCTGTTCAGATAGGTTCCTGTATTACTGTATAAAAAATGTCAGAGTATCAGTTTTCTTTTAATGACTGAACTATGCTTTAAATTATAAATTACTGCTATAGAAAAGGCTTTTTTTTTTTTTTTTTTTTTTTTTTTTTTTTTTAATAATCACAGTACCATGACTTATATTCATGGCAGTATTAGTTTCCTTAAAGACACAGACAGCCAGAAAGAAGTACAGCGGGCACTAAAACATCACCATTGGCAAAACTGGTATATTGTCCCACTGCACTAACCATCCATGGAAGTGCACCCTTACGGAGCACGCTAATGCCATGCTCAGGCATCTGTTTACACTGCAGCATTCATAATGGTTACATATTAATTGTGCATAATTTGCAATACAGACAATAAGATATACTTTACATGGGTACTTTGCAGTTGCATGGATAAATACAATAAGTTATTTACAGATGTATATACATATTTCTTTTGTGTTTCAGTTTGGAGCTCTGTTGGTAGGGGGGAGTGATTATGGTATGTGGTTTGTTTGGTTTTTTGTTACACAGTTCGTAGTTTATAAGTTCATTCATAGTAAATTCACAAAAATAAGAGTAAAAAACATCCTCCATAGTGCCGGTATCCTCTGACGTTCGACCATACGCATTTCTTTCCTACACACAGGACACTTATAATGGCTATTAAGTAAACCTTCATTTTCACACTACTACAGTTCATAGTTCAACACACAGTTTATGAATTCATTTCAGGTAAATAGTGTTGAGTATGTAGTGGTGTATCTGCCACACATTGCACAGTATGAAATAGTTCATGCCAGGGTTCTCTCAATAAATGGAGATATTTAAGTGTATTTTTTAAAGGCACTCCTGTGTAGTATGAGGGTAAGAGTGGATACTGTTGCATTTTCTGAACTTACAGGATTATTTTGGGTTGCATGCTATGGATGACACAGGTCCAGTCCTTGGCGGTGTAGGAAATCGCCTTAAATGTACTCTGCACTGGCTTACAATTTGGTAACTGGTTATATAATACTCTAAATCATTAAAAAAGAATATAGCGTGCGAGCACATTAACTCTTCTAACGCAGAGCTGAGTCAAACTTTTCTTATTAAAAGTATAATGTATAGAAAAAACTCTTCTCTTGAATTATAATCATCAAAACTAATTCAGTTTAGAAAATGATTCTGCATTCTAACTCAATAAAAAACAACAGTGCAAATGCTTAAAATAATTCCAATAAAGCAATAATGATACAAGTTTAGAAAACTCATAATTTCCTCAATCATAAAAACAGGATTATTCAAATAATGTTTTTCCTCTATTCTTTCTCTCTGATAAATTTAAAATGAACAATGATTTAAATCTTGTTTTTTCCTGAGTGTAACAACTAGATATTTTATTAGCTCCCTTGAGTATATCTAACTAGCACAGAACATCTTCACAGAAGACTTTTGTTAGGAACTGGCTCACTTTTACATTGCATATGGTTAAAAACATGAAAACTCTCATGTACCTAGCCCATTCATTCCCTAGTAATTGAACTAAAATTATAACTATAATTTATTTAACTGGCTATTGAAGGTATTCATTTAACAGAGAAGTACAGACTGGCTTTAACATTAATATTGCTAGTACTGCGACAGCATACCTGTGCTGGATTACTTCTTTATTTAATATAAAATTCTTACAAATACTATGGATATCTCTATGAAGTTTTTGTTTTCTGACAGGTTTATGCTATACAAAATAGTTCACAAAAAAGTCATGTGGTCATGCGTTTTATACATGTACATGTCAGCTACTCTTAGAAATCTTCATGCTCAGCCACTAGAATCAAATACAAAATAAAATATTAGTGCTCAGATGTCTTTTTTGTTTAAATGTAATACTCTTTTCTAGTTAATTTTAATGTATTTTCTTCCTGTTTAGCTTTAGGATATCTCATTAAAGGGACAGATTTTTTTTTAAGCAATATAATATTTCAAATGAGATAAAGTTTTATCTTTAAAGCAGTATCATAAAATTTGCAATAATGTTTTTGACCAAAGCTTAACTAGCGTTGACTGTTCACTTAAATTCTCAAACTTTTAGATCTTAATGACCAATGTGTTGAATTTGAAAATTTCCTTTAGC